ATGATTCTAACAAAACACCGCGAATTTGAATCCTCTCTTTGGGCGGCAGTTGTAACGGCAGTGTTGAGGTCACATAAATGTAACGATACCGGTACACCCACGTCAGCAGTTGTCTCTGGTAGCCTGGTCCTTGCCGTTTGCTAACCATCCAAATTCTTACCGAGTGAGGATGGCTCAGCTCATCAGCATCATTCGACAGACAGAAGATAAAATTCCTTTATATTTGAAGGAGGCAGTGTCTTCTTGTGTTAATACCACTCAGGAGATCACACATTCAGCATCAGATGAGCTTGTTTCCTTAGAGTACATTCTACGGGTCCCTCCCCAAAGCTGGCATGATTACTCATTTATTTTCTAGCTCAATGCCTTCCAGTTTTTTAAATATGCATGTGCCCCCTAAGCCTCCTAATTCTCATTAATAAATGACCTTTCCTAGTCTCCATGCCCTTTCTGAAATGCTGTGGTCCCCCTGTAAGCCAAAACACAGTCTGTGTGGAGGGCGGGATGCTTTGAGAATTTCTCTTCAGTGCTTTTGTGTCTCTTCCCTGTGCAGGCCGCTCATTAGCAGTCTCGGGAGCTATTATCCCCGCCCCCTCTTCTTTTCTGTAGGCCTCCGGCTTCCTGCATTCATCCATCTGGCCCCTGGGATTTCTTTATACCGCCGGGTCCAGGAAAGGAAAATGAGGTCTCTCCCACACTTGCAACCCAGAACCAACGCAGGGACCCTCCCAGGGAGACCGCTGCCTGTCCTTTCAGACTCAGAGAAACAAGGCAGACAAAGAAGTGACAGGGAAAAGGCGGTTTCACTCCTCGCCAACAGGGAGGTGAAGTGCGAGGGAATTTTTTAGAGAAGCTATGGTGCCTCTTGGCATCCCGACTTTCCCTTGGGGAGAAGCCCTCCGGGGGCTGGAGAGCAGCAGCGTAAAATACAGACTGTCTGACTGTCTCCAGCTTCAGAGGAACTAGGAAGAGAGAGACAAGTTTGCTCTCCACTCTGACCAGCGTGCTCTGTTCATAACGGAGGAAAATTACTCTGAGCAAAGGAGAAAGCTGTTCGATTCGCTGTTGAAATACACCTGTCCCTACCCGACATTAGTTTGCAGGCCCTTTGGAGAAATGGAGGCTTTTTTCAGCTGATGGAGCCCCCAGGGGTGAAAGAGTTCAGGGGGCTTCCGCTCTGCTCGGCCTCTCTGCTGACCCCATGGCATCTCACAGAACCCCAGGGCTGAGTGTGAGAACCGGTGTGTGGAAAGCCACCTGGGGGATCCTCAGCATGAATGTGTCTTTTCTCTGCCTTAGACATTCTCACACTTTTTTCTTGAGTTGAGGTCACTTGGGCCTCCTGCCTGGAATGCAGATTCCTGGGCCTCGGTCCCAGAGACACACACTCAGCCTGGGGATCTGCATTTCAACGCACATCCCAATGATTCCAATACTGGTATGAATGGATCACGAGAAACTCTGCGCCCCTAGTCCGCAATGCCTTACCCCTAAAACAAAGACAAAATAATGTTGAATGCAAACTGGGATTGAAAAATAACATATTAACATGTGCAATCATAATATCATGAATAGTTATATAAATATATAAATAATTAATAAAATGTTGAAATTTCACACACACACACACACACACAAAAAAAAAAATCTGCCCTGTAAACTGTCTGCCGAGGGTCTTTCAGTGGCTTCAACTTAGTCTTACTTGTCCCTAGTTTATTTTAGGTACTTCATTTGTAAGTGTCAAATACCATTAAGATAGTTTTTTCTTGCCAAGGGAGACAATATCTTAGTTGCCTCTTCCATCACCTCCCAGTTTAATTCTACGTTTCTGTACCCGATGTGCCCAGATGTGGCCGGGCACAGCCCCTCTGTTGGGCCAGCTCTATCGGGGCCCCCATCAGCTTCCTTCTTCCTCCAGCTCTTCATGCTTTTGTTTGTTTGCTTCCTTGTATTTTTAAGACATCTCCTTAAACCTCTCCTTCCCCCAGCAAACACCCAGAGTAGAAGTTAAATGACGTCTATAAGCAAATACAGAACTGACTTACCAACGCAAAGGCAGCTCACTGGCAGGCATATGAATGCCCCATGTAGCAGGACGCTAGGTGTTCTGAGGGATACAAGGAAATACAAGAACTACTCCAAGTCACATTTTTAAAACAAAGCAAGCCCACAAGGAGACACCCACTCGAATGACAGTAATCAAGCGCTTGCCGGGATGTGGAGAGGCGGGAACCACCTGCACTACAGGTGGGAATATGTAAAATGGTGTGGCCACTTGGGAAAATACTTGGGTGACATCTTGAATATTTGACTCTACACTTACCATACAATTTTGCGATTCCACTCCTAGGCATCTGCCTGAGAGAAGTGAAAATGCGTGTCCTCACACAGACCTGTATGAATGTGGTCATAGCAGCCACAAACTAGAAACTTTGCAGAGAAAGGAATGGATAAACACAATGTGGGGTAGCCATACACTGGAGTATTATTAAGCACCAACGATAAGTGAAATACTGAAATGTGCCGCAATGGAGATAAACCTCAGAAACATTATGCTAATTGGAAAACGCCCGGCTGTGTGTTATCCCAGTTACGTGAATCTGGAAAAGCAAATGTGTGTGTGAGCAGAAAGTGGGCTGTGGGTTCCTGGGACCACGGCTGAGAGCAGGACAGAACTGCAAACAGATCGCAGGAAACGATTTGGGATGAGAGAATTTTTCCAAAACCGGACTGGGGTGATAGTTGCAGAGCTCTAGAAATGGACCAAAATTTATAATTTAGTGAATAATGGATTTACAGTGCCAGGCCCGTAAGTTGGGCACCGCAGCACCCAAGGTGAAGAGAGGATGTGGGCATTAGCATTTCCGATTGTTCTCCCACCTGCTTTGTATGAAATTAGGGAGTTTGCTGGTTGTGCCCGACTGGACCAGCAGAGAAAACAAATGTACATTTTATACTTTACATGTCTATAAAAACATTCCTGTTTAGTGTGAGGAAAGGAGGGTAAGACAGGCTGCAAAGGAATCGCAGCGATTCTTTCTTTTCCTAGAAAATCACGCACTTACCCTATGTTTTAGAATGCTAATGTTCTACAGATAAGCTCCTGTTTCACGGTCAATAGCAAACCACCACCAGAACGTATAAGTCACTGGAATTTCATTGATGTGAGTGGCTTTTGCAGGCCTAGGAGAAATCTGAACTGAAAAGAGTTCATTTGGGGACCATCACTTGGCAAGTGGTGAGGAGGGTGGGTTGGCCCACAGGTGTTCTGTTCTTCTCCTTAGCTGGGTCTTGAATTATCGCCACACCCCTGGTTCCTTGAGTGTGTAGTTAGCTCTTAAATTGCTGTAGAACAGTCTTTCTTTCATTTAGGGGTATGTTTTGTGAGCAAAGAATAAAGCACTTTGAATATATTTTTTAAAAAATAAATGTCTATAGCCCTGACTGGCATGGCTCAGTTGGTTGGGTGTCATCCTGTGGAGCAAAAAGTTTGCTGGTTCAATTCCCGGTCAGGGCACATGCCTGTATTGTGGGTTTGGTCCCCGGTCAGGGCACATTCAAGAGGCAACTGATCAATGTTTCTCTCTCACATCGATGTTTCTCTCCCTCTCCTTCCCTTCCCTTCTCTCTCTCTCTCTTTAAAAATAATTAATTAATTTAATTTAAAGCAAAATAAAAAATGATGTCTAAAAATACAGAGTAATAGTATTACCATTACTGATACATCAGTGTTTTTATTTTTTATTATTATTATTTTTTTAATTTTATTTAGTTATTTTTCAAGTACAGTTTTTTGTCTATTTCTCCCATCCCAGCCTCCCCCGCCCCTTGCTCCCCACCTCCCTCCCATTTCCACCCCCCTTAGTTCTCGTCCCTGTGTCCTTCCTATTTGTTCCTCCAAATCCCTCCCCCCATTTTCCCCCTTAACTTCCCTTCCTTCTCCCCTCTGGTCACTATCCCCTTGTTCTCTATTTCAGTGTCTTTGTTTTTTGTTGTTTTTTTTTCTGCTTGCTTGTTTGTTTTGTTGTTTAGCTTCCTGTTAAAGGTGAGATCATATGGTATTTGTCTTTCAACCCCTGGCTTATTTCACTCAGCATAATGCTTTCCAGTTCCATCCATGTTGTTGCAAAGGGTAGTAGCTCCTTCTTTCTCTTTGCAGCATAGAATTCCATTGTGTATATGTACCACAATTTTTTGATCCATTCATTTACTGATGGGCACCTAGGTTGCTTCCAACTCTTGGCTATTGTAAATTGTGCTGCTATGAACATTGTGGTGCATAGGTTCTTTGAAATTGATGTTTTAGTATTCTTAGGATATAATCCCAGCAGTGGAATTGCTTCTCAGAAAAATAAAAATCGACATCAGTGTTTTTAATATTTGAGGATGTTTCTTTCCCATCTGGCTGGTTTACTGGGAATAAGAAATCAGATTAGGCTGATAGCCAAAAAGTGCCTCTTGAACACCGGCTAGTGTTGAATGTTATTAATTCCATTGAATTCAGTCCCGATGTTTGTAGTGGGTGGAAAATAGTCGTCGTTTTTACTCCTCCTCTTGCCTGCGTCACTGCCACAGCCTTGTGCAAACTTCAGGAGTCGGTGAGCACAGTCACCTGTCGCAGGTGAACACACCGAGTCAGCCAGCCTGGGGAAGGCGGCAGGGGCCGCGGCCGTCCTTCTCTGCTCTTTCTGACACTAGACTCTTCTGTCCTTTGATTCCTGCTATTTTTAGTTGCTCGACCTGAATATCAGACATTAACGACACATCGTTTCCTAAGCAGAGTTGTATAACAAATTTCTTATAAAGCAAATTTCTCTTCGGGACCCCGTTTGGCGGTTCTACCCGGACAGTGAAGCATCTCTGCAAGGACTTCTGTCCTCGGGAAGGGACCAGCTGCGGAGGGTCCCAAACCCACAGAGCGTTTCTGTGATGGGAACTTCGTGCGGTGGTTGAACTGGTTCTCACCCCATCTTTTACATCTGTATGTTTATGTGTTTCAGGAAAAAAGTGCCAGTTCAAATGCAAGACTTAAAACCAGTAAAGAGATTCCGGGATTAGTTCATCAGCCCAGAGCAAAGTAAGTCCAAGTGCCTATTTTTATATTGTTTTTAAAGCTAAAACTATTTCCTCAGTAAATTCCAATGTGCTTACCGGATAATCAAGACTTCTTGTAAAGCGTCAGTGATTATGACCAAGGGGGTTCCCGTGCAATGGATCAGACTGGAGAGCCCCAGGCAGCTCCCCAGTATATGACAGAGCAGGCATTTACGTGACCGGGGAGAAGAAAATAAAGGGGAGTATCTTTATGGCCAAGGGGTAAGAAAAAAGTTTAAATAAGTCACAAAGGGGACAGATCTTAAGACAGATCTTAAGGAAAATGATTAATTATTTTGGCCATGTTAAAATTTAGAACTGTTTATCAAAAATATACTGTAGGAAAGGAAAAGCCACACAGTGATGGAATCATTCATGACATGTACAACTGACAGTATTTGGATTTGCAGACGATTCTACAAATCAGCGAGTAAAAGACAGAGAACTCAGAAAAACAGGATAAAGTCATGAACAACCATTTCACCGATGAGGAAACATGAATGGCTGATGCACATGAGAGAAATGACACTTCATACCCCAAGATTAGCAAAACTTTAGGAATCTGACGTTACAAAAGCATGGACCGTGATGTAGAACACGGGCGCCCTTAGTGCCCACGGGTGGGAGTCTAAACGGGTCCAGTTGCTTTGGAAAACAGCTTGCGTTACCTGGAAGAATCGTACCTCCAGGTACCTTCCCCCCACGGCTTCACTCTCAGGTACCCAAAGCCTCGCACACGCGCACCTGCAGAAGTATCCGTAGCAGCATTGTGTTTGTGCGCTCTTGAAGCCCTTGGAGGTAAAACCCGAATGTCCATCAAAAATATAACGGCTAAAAAAATTAGGGCACATTCTTACAACAAGAATAGTACGTATCAGTGACCGTGAACGACCTATACCCACACATGTCAAGGTGAAGGGATCTCACGATGTACGGTTGCAGCAGTAAAGCAGTCGTACCTGCCTACATACAGTTGCGTTCGTATGAAGTTCAGAAACAGGCAGAACTGAGCAGTATGTTATGTACCTGTCCACAGTAAGTAATAAAGGCAAGCAAGGAAACGGCGAGGTGTTAAATTGGGAACAGCGGGTCTTTCTGACGGCATGGGAGACCGTGGGGCCATGGTTTCTGTTTGCTAATCTCCTTGGTTACCGGGGTGTCCCTTTATTATCATTTAAAAACGGAAAACAACACTTTATGTTTTCTTTACTCTGTGTTATGTCCTTCACAATCAAAAGGTTAAAGAGAATAATGAGTCGTTTCCTAAGCTGCTCTAGAACTGAATCTCCCTTGGTCTGGCGACAAAATGGATTTTGTGTGATGTTGAAGCGACCTCCCCTTTCTTCAAAGAGGCTCTGGCATTCCAGAAGCCACAAGCCTCTTGGTGGTGTTCCCCCTAAATATCAGCAACCCTCCTGAAGCTCTGGATCACACAATTGCCACCATCACCCCACTCCAAAATAAATTGGACCATTACACATAGGCTCCCACGAGTCAGAATCACAAGCAGTTGTGTTGGTCTCTGGTTCCTCCCAGGAAGTGGAGACAGAAATAACCTCACGCAGGACCAGGTGAACCTGGCTCCGTGTCCGTGGCATCGCTTCGGCCACGGCTGCCGTGAGACAGTGATCACGACTTTCCAGGAGGTGCTGCACGAGCGCAGGGGTTTGGTTCTTCACTCTCAAAGAAAACGAGACATTTCCAGGTCCCCTTGTCATTTCTAACATCAGTGTATCAGTAGGGCCGATTTTACCACCCGGGGGTGAGAGTGATGCTATCTGTAATCACAACCCTTCCAGTTCTCTTCCCTGGCAATCTCTTTCATCTGCACTAACTTTATCTGCCTTCGGGAACAGCAGATATCTGATGACGGAACCTAATTATCTTTCCATCCCGGCCATTGGATACAGGCTATTGTTAAATGCTTCACTTATCTCTTGAGTTCTAAGCAGAGACTGTAAGGAGACGGTCTTTGCCTTCAGAGTGCACACTGACTTCACTTGGACACTGAAGCAGAACACTGTGCAAAGTGACGTGGGCTGCCCCTCAGGGAACTTGATTTAATTGGCTCCTGTTTTTACTTTAAAATTATGAAGAAAAAGCCTCACCCAGGAGTGTGTGTGTGTGTGTGTGTGTGTGTGTCTTGTAAACTGTGAGTCAGAACATCGGGTTCCTGGAATTCAACTCAGAAATCCTTCTGAAGGTTCAGAGACTTTTCTTGCTTGCTGATTCACGGGATCGAGGAAACTCCTCTTTATTATGCCGTTGTATAAAATAAGATAATGAGTTTTGCTCCCCCATGAGTGGAAGGACAGTCTTGGACCAGACAATGGGAGATTCGTTAATAACAAAGGCAGGTGATCCTCACGTCTTCATCTGCTCCAACGTGTGGGACACATTCTTAGGGACTTGGTGATCTCTGACAAGTGACTTAAGGTCTCCGAGCTTCAGTTTTCTCAGAGGAAAACGGAAGCATCTTGTAGGGCTGGGGAGAACATGAAGTAACACACTCCCAGTGCTCATCGCAATGGCTTGGTAAGAACGCCTTCATCATAGAAACCACCCAAGTGCCCTCTCACCGGAAGTTGGGAAAAATAAACTACACTGTATTCACACAGTGGGATATGCAAAGTAATGTAAAATCGCTTCATTTAAAGTTAATACTTAAAGTAGTTAAAATGAATGTGCCGGAGCTGTGCACAGTGCCAGACAGACCTGGCAAATGCATCACCGAAAGGGGTGAGTGAGCCCTGGAAGATGGTGCAGGGCGGGACCCACTCTGCAAAGTTACAGCAACTGAATAAGCCAGGGTGGGAGGTCAGTTAGCGCCAGGTTGTTGGCAAGGTCCCGGCTTTTGTTTTTGTTTTGTTTTCATGGGCGCTCCCAAAATAATGAGCTGAAAAGTGAGTGTGTACCACGCACGAACTACAAGCAAGGGTGTTGTGGGGATTAGTCTTAGCCCCGCTTCCCTGGGGTCCAACTGAAAAATAATCCTGGTGATGGTGAAGAAATAAGTGTGTGGGGGCCAAGATTTGCCGGGAACCCAGTGACTAATTGAATCTCATCTTTGCAGCTGACGTATCAGGGAATCAAGGCCTTGCCTTCTCATACTTTGCTGGCTTGAGGTTTTTTTTTTGGAAACTTTTTTTAAGTCATTGAACATAACAGCCACATCATATCTTTCAGCTCTGAAGCCCATTTCGCCCACCTTCTGATCATCCGCTTACTTGTCCGTAAGGCTCATTCCGTCTGTTATCATCTCTAGTGTCGTGAGGCAGAGAAGTCGCAGAAGGAAGAGCCCCTGCTGGCTCAGGGTTAACTCTCACAAGCTTTGCCGCCATGGACCAGGGGCCCCAACAAGCCCTCCATGGGGGCGCTGGCGTTTCCAAGGTGGAGTTGCAGTCCCTGCAGAGAAGCGGGATTGCCAAAATTGTTAAGCCTCATTAGTTAAATCAGGCACCAACATGCAGGCTTTCATAAGGGACTTTCAGATGAATTCATCCAATTTAGCATCAAGTACTTATGCTTTATAAATGAAATCACAAAGAATCCCATTTTTCCTCTCTAACATCTTAGGAGAGATACAAAGGCAGTGTGCTCCTTCTTCTCCTGGCTGCCTGCTCACAGTCATCAAATTGGGCGTCAGGAAGTGTTTAGGAATCGAGCTGTTAGCTAGGCATCGAGGGAGTGCTTCTCACGGTGCAGTTTCTACTTTTCAACGTAAAAACTAGTATTCACGCCACTGTGTTGACGGGGTTCCCACGTGAGAAGAGGACGTTTATCTGAGCAGGAGTCCATCCATGGGAGCTGTGTTATTTCATCAGTCAATGTTCTGCCTCTGCCCTACAGGAGAGACTTCAGGGCTTCTCTCTGAAACAAACCTACAGGAAAAAGCCGAGGAAGCCTCCTGATTTTAGGATACCTCATCTCTAGGATGATGCCCAGATAACAGGGACCTCGTGCGGGCATCTGTGCCACCTGCCGGTGTCTGCCTCACCTCCAGGGACAGCAGTGTGTCTGAAAGAGCTCACGTATGCATCAGGATTTGATGATAAATGAGTCACCTTTCTTCCACGCAGCCTCTTAACACAGTCCACGAACTGCATTTCAAGGGGGCAGAGTAGTGAACCAGCCTGGCGCACGGCTCTTCCTGGCGGGTTTTGAAATGAGGCAGAAGCGGGCCTGGTTGCTGGAACGCCCGCAGACGAGGAAAAATCAGACAGCGTTTCTGTATCGGGGTGTGACGGTAGAGATGCACCCAATGGAAGGCGGGCTGGGTGCCGCCGTTTGCTTAGCATTGTTTCTCAGAGGGCGCATGTGGACAGGAAGATGCTCACTCGCTTCCTGACTTGTACCTCAACCCCAGAGTTAGGTTCCTACTTAGTTCAGGATCCAGATGGGGTTGGAAGTACACGGTCTTATCTAATTAATTCTGGGTTGTCTGGCTTTTGTCCAGTTGGTTTTAATCGAGGGTAACCTGTTTTGTCTTGTGCGTAAATGGCTACAAAGCATATATTAAACCACATGGAGCTTTTGGTTTGGGGTTTTGCTTTACCATCTTGGGGTTATCACCATCACCTTTGGTCCCATGCTCTTGACATGGACCCCTGAGCCTGGCCATCATTGACCCTCGGATGGCAGACACGTTTGGAGAGGCCCTTTTACTTAAGACGTGCCCTTTGTCTGACTAGCGTGTGCGTGTGTTGAGTATTAACCACACACATCCTCGTTTTCATGTTGTGACAGTTCCAGGAAGAGTTCATGGAAGTCAGTCGCAGTCAGAGAATGTGAGTTTGGGAGGGACCTCAGACCAGCCCCTGGGCTTACAGATGAGGGGTCAGCGGTCTGCACCTCCCCCCTGGGGAGAGACGGTGCTGCCCTCTGAGGTCATGGCTCACGTACATTTAAGTGGAGACCATGAGATCAATTAATGTTATACTTATTGCCTTCCTGTTATATGTAGGGCAATATATGCTAAAAAGCTTAGCACAAAAGCTCCCACAATGAACATCACATCCTAAAAATGCTGTTTTTATGAGGTCTCTTGGGATTTCCAAGGGAAAGTAACATATATACGGTTATGTATACATTAAGAGATCTATGTCATCTTGCCTTTCTGCTCTGGCACCCAGCGCCGTCCAGAAGCCTTATCTGCGGAGAGTTTGGCCAGGATCAGGAGAGATTCCCGAACCTGTCTCAGCAGCCACAGTGGGTGCCAGACTGTTCGTGTCTCCGCTCACACCAAGTCCCCCGGGCTTCCCCTCGGAGCCTGTTTACACAGCTGTAGACACGGCTCTAACAGCCTGTCCAGACTGGTTCCAAGCATAGAGTAGAGGCAGCAACCGGGAAGAAAACCGAAAGAGGACTGATACCTCCTCTGACAAGAAGAAACGAGAGAAAAGCTCCAACTCCGGTGAAGAACACAAGGTGGGAGTTCAGGGCCATCTTGGTCAAAGACAGTTCTCGGAGTTTCCCAGAAGTCTGTTGTGATTTAAGACCCTGGAAGTGGCTGCCGGTCGTGAGGTAGAAGTTAAGTAGCCTTTGTGATGGAGTCTCTATGAAAGAGTGTGCAGTTTAGCAGCCTTGCATCCAAAGTGGCTCAAATAAAAAATGTTTGCCGCTGAAAGTAAGACCATAAGGAGTCCGGGAGAACTCAGCTGCACACGATGGCTTTTCTGCCCAGCCAGAGTCAGAGGAGACCGTTTACGTTCTCACTATCCCAGACCCCGCCCCGCCTTCCTAACCTGCGGAAACACAGCCTGTCTCTGAAGCAGGGCACTGACCTTGCATCAGCGATCATGTGACAGATCTGTGTGGCACACGTAGACGTGCTTTATACCCGTGAACGGTGATTGTGGCCCATGTGGGCTTACTGTTTGCCTTTGACGTCAGAGCTGACGTCATTGTGCCCCCAGAATTTAATTAAATCTCCGGGTTACGCATAGGGGGAAGCCTCCTAGGAGCCCCACTGTCTCCCATGGGAGGGCTGAAGGGTTTGGGGTCGCTCGTGTCACTGTCTGTGAGCCCTAAAGGATGAGGCGCCGTGCTGAGGGCTGCTCACCATAAACAGACTTGAAGGGAAGAAGCTGTTCCAGAGCCACTGTCCTCACCCGCCCTCCGCAGCCACAACAGTGAATAGGCACTAACAGTGGGTGGAAGAAGCACTGCACAGTGTGTTTCTCACCCCAGCACCCTGAACCTACTTGGGACCCACAACTGTGCGCTAGGCAGACACTGCAGCCATGAAACCATTCCGGCCGCAGGCCCCTTCCTCCCTCCGCGCTTCCCATCAGCGCACTTCCCTGCTCTTCTTACCGTGTGGCCATGTTCTTCATCTGGCCATGTACGCTGTTAGTGGGGTGGCAGGCACAGACACAGGGCAGTGCTACCCAGACCTGCCTCCTGACTTCCTCCTTTATCCCAATGGGATTTCCATCGCAGAAGAGTACAGTCACTGTCACCAATGCCAATTGGCGTTTGGGGGCCAGTGGCAAGTTCTCAGCACAATTGCCGCTGGCCCACAACTGTACCGTCAGCTGGAGAGCACGCTGATGCTGACAACCTTTGTAAAACACACATCTCCATATAATAACTGCGGTATATTTTTGTACAGCCACACACACGGTGGGATGGGCCGTGTGTTTGCTTGCCTGTGCTTTTTTAAATCACAAATTGTGTATCTGAAGAAAAAAATTGGCCCACACCTCCCAGTAACATCACTATAAATAACGTGTACAGTGAAAGGAAATCATATTTCTTAAGTCATAGGCACGGATAGACAATTATGAAGTGCATTTGTAGGATTGCTGTAATAATGCTTATTCTTACTATAACTTCAGAGTATTTCCGTGGGAAAGTCTGCTGTAAATCAGTGTCTGCCTCCGTGTTTAGGGGCTCAGCATTTTTCTTGAAGGAGGGAGGTTTACAAAAGAATTGAAATATGCACTTAACTACTCTTTGTGTTTCAGCATGCACATCTCTGAGAGCCAACAAGAATTCTTCAGAATGCTGGATGAAAAAATCGAAAAGGTAAGAAGTAAAATAAAATGCATGTTTTGAGGCTGGTTGTGCCAGGAGCTAGGGTAACACTATTCTGGTTTCTCTGTCACAAAGTTATTTTTGTAAGGGACTGGGTGGAGAGTTAAAGCTAAAGTCCCCCTCCCTACACCAAAAAAAAAGTGGCTCTGAGAATGTTTAAGGTAAAATGGAGCTTCCCAGGATCCCGAGCTACCGTTGGTCATGAATTAAAGTACGTAAAGCCAGAGACTCGCGAGCACCTTGTCTGCACCGTGAGCACTGCTATGATCTCAGACTGCCAGCAAGAAGTTACCTGCCAGGTCTTACCTCGTGCCTGTCACCGCTTCGGTTCTTTATAAACTTCCTGTATGTATTGCAATAAACACCCACCTGGGGGTAATGGTTGTGAGACCTGTGTTATCTGCCGTTTACAGGCAAGGAAACTGAGGCTCAGAGTGCTTGAGTAACTTACCCAGGTTTGCAAAGCAACAGTAATGGTAGTAATTATTATTACCATCCCGCTTCTCTGTAGATCCAAAGCAGAGCCTCCAAGTTGCTTCTCTAGGAATGTGTTGCTTCTCTAGGGTTTCACATCGACGGTAGGGTGTAAAGTTGATCCGCGTGGACACTGAACCATATCTATGATGTCAGGGTGCCACGTGCTAATCAGCTGAACGAATTATGGACTCTGGTAACATGACAAGCTTCCATGCTTAGGGACTTTAAATTCATCCATGCCCATGGGATGAATTTTAACTATTAAATCGAGTATTATCACTTGAAAGCTTTATTCGGAGGAAGAGTACAACCCTAAATCAGAACATATCAGTATTTCAGGTAAGGCATCACAGGCCTGTTTTGCCTCTGACAGTTTCTCTGTTTTAACTTTATTTCTCTTTTACCTTTTGTGTTCCTTTGATCTGAGCATTTCCTCATAAATTCCCAAATTGCCCTGTCACTCGGTGGAAGGTAACAGAGGTCTTACACTCACCAGTCTTTCAGCAGCCGGTCCGCTCTGAGGATAATTGTACAGCCTCCTAATGAACGGCTCAAAGATCAGCAACCACCACCAATGGGAAAACAGAGATGGAGAATGAATGTAAATGGTGGTTTTGTCTGTACTGCTCCCTGACTGTGCATAAATACTCGCTTAGGAGGATAATATTTCATTTTCAGTTTTAGTTTAATTTTGGCTTGTGCATGACTTTTCACCGGGAACATTTCCTCCAGGACTAATTTCCAAGGTTCACAGATTGGTTCAAACGCTGTTCACCGTGCTGATAACATTCTGTTTTAGTGACGAGAAGCATAAAAAGAAATGTCTGTTCCCACGGTTTTGGTGAAGATCCTTTGTTTCTCAGTTTGTTTGGATTTTTTTTCCTCTCCTGGTTTTCTGGCAACAAAAAGATCTGCTTACTAGTCAGAGCTAGTCTGAAAAAATTAAAACCTGAATTTAATCTATCTTTTAAATAACACATACAAATCTGATGAGGCATTTAAGATGACCTAACTCCTTCCCGGTGTATTTCCAGAATTAGAATTCTCCCTCTGTTTACTCCAAACTGAAATTCACTGTTCCCATCCAAAACCCCGGGCTCCTCTTCTCCTTTTGCATTGGGTGTGGAGTATGGTATGTTTGGCACAACAGAAGCAAAGTTTATAGCTCGATCACTTATGAGATAGAGGTCAAGTTCCCTGGACAAAGAAGCACTTGTGGATTCAGCATAAACAATTGTTCCCACTATTGAATACATTTCCATTCAACGGAGAGCTGTCGTTTCATCTGTGACATGCAGCCAGTCACAGATTTCTAGAGGAATTTTCTGCCCTCTCTGAACGAAGCTTTCCTGGGTCCCCTCTCTTGTGTGAAGCTCATCCTTCTGGATACTGTAGGTGTCCTGCATATGACTTAACCATTAGGCCTGCAAAAATTAAAAGATTCCCTCTTAATATAGATGTTTGCCTTAATGTAATCTTTGCTGCTGTTTACAATTGGAAATTGGAGTCTTAAAAAAATTGTTTCCTAACATTTTAAACATTGCTAAGTATCTCTTTGGTCCAGGTTAGCATGAGGGTAACCATAAATACAACGCAAATCATTCTTTAGGTTTTATAGAATTGATTTGAAAAAATGATTAAACTTAAAAGGTCGTGCTGAAAATGAGCAGTCACTCTGAGACGCCTTCAACTTTGAGGTTTAACCTTTCTCAGAAATGTCTAGGAATTCCTTCTTTTTCCTTCATTGATGAGACACAAGATTGGCGGGAGCTTTGAACCTGCCCTTCCTTGATTCATCCTTTGCATTTACTGAATGTCTATAGGACGTGGCTTAATTCAATTCTCCTCTTGATACCAAAAGAAATCTCTACTCTGTCTTCCTCGAGATAGACATTACAAAATAAAATAATAAATTTTAAAGACAGATGTAAGAGTACATCAGGACCATTAGATGGTTTGAAATTTATAGTGAATCTTACTTTGGACCACGGTGTTCTAATTCAGAGATTGTCACAGCGCCGGGCTACAGTTAACCTTTGCATCCCAGGTGGATCCGTGGTTTTCTAAGAAGTTAATGGTGGCGCAGACAAGCAGGTGGCAAAAAAAAAAAAATGCCTTGAACAATTATTTAGCACTTACTGAATACCAGATATTGTGTTAGTTACTCAGGATAGAAAAATAAGTAAGAAATATGTTAGGAGGTGGAAACCATCCCTTGTCAGAGGAACTCAATTTTGAAAGTGAATTTCTTTAAAAATATAATTCTTTTGCTGATGGAGGAGTCCTTCTCCACCTCCGCCCCACGGCCCCCGGCCCACCACTGTCACTGTGAGTCACATCCTTCTGTACTGAACACAAGGGTGTGTTGCGTCCCGTGTGAGCCTGGTCCAAAAAGGAGCCGCAGGGACAGTTTGTTTTGGTCCCTAGGTAGCCTTTCACTGTGCTCACGAGTCGAAGGCCAGGTCACCGAGCCACCTCTGGACATGACGAAGGGAGAGATTTTGTCGGGAGATCAGTGAGCGTTCAGAACAGCTTTATGACCTCTGTTTTTGGGGGAAGAGTAAAAACCCTGTGAAGCAATGGGAGGGTCTCGTTTATTTTGACCTCATTGTTTTTTTGCTCATCATCATCTGTCTCATCATTATCCCATTTGGATGTATCGTTGCTGTGCCGCAAGATTCACAGGCTCCCGCACCTCCTGGGAAGTGGTGACGTTTGACTACTTTTGCAGCTTAAAGAAAGCAACAGTGTACTACAGAGCAGGATAATGATTTTAAACACTGTATTTAGAGGAGAAAATCAATTGTCTGGATTATTAAACCTGGGCCTGTGGGAGTTTCTGAATATAGTAGCAAATCCAGATCACGCCCAATTCATTTTTCTTTATGTAAACTTTTATTCGGAAATAACGTCAAGTTTATAGGAAGTTGTGACACCCGGTTTTAACACATGCTTTCTACTCTACATATGAGTTTACTTGTAAGAAGCAGAAAAAGTCAATACTTTTTTTTTTAAGTACTTGAATATCAGTATCTTCTCCAGGCAAAATGCAGGGAGTTACACTTTGCCTCCTGGGGATGGAAGAACAGCTGATGACCACAGGGTCTCAAACACAACCCTGAATGTCACACGAAGAATATCTCAGGACAATGCCATTTGCATCTGGTTAGTTTCTCCCACGCAAGACTTCTGCAGCTTTGTGGGACCACTGGGCATCTTTTGGAATCTTGTAAAAGTTTTAAAGACTCTTTCTATAAAAATGCACATGATATCATATACACAGAATTCTTAAGCAAAATGTCAGGGTTTCGTAATTTCCCGGAGCCTGTCCACGGCCCGGGCAAAGAACACGTGGCCTTTTTAAGGATGCATTTCATTACGGTGCTTCCCTGGGGTCTGGGGCCCCACTGAGCTGTCAGTTCAGCCCCAGTGGCCTTGTCCCTGCGGGCCTGTGATGGCAACAAGGATGAGGAAACAGCAAATAACACCATGCGAACCTGTTCCCTGTTCTCTCTCACTCCCCTTTCTTCACAAAACTTGCTCCCAGTCCTTGGCCCTTGTCAGATTTCGAGATTCTCCAGTGTTGCCTGGAATCACTCAGTGTAATGTTTTAAGGGGATGCCGGAGGAAAAGCAGGGTGTGAATTGGGAGTCGGCTGGTTTTGAAAGATGTGTGTTTATCTGGAGACCTCTCCATCTGTTGAAAACCCATTGACGCTTAGCAATTGTTTGGGTTCCTCAACTGGCCTGGCTCCTGGCCCCAGAACTAACCTTGTTGGTGAGAAAGATCACTGGAAGTCTGCCTTTCTGTACTTATTCCAAGGACTCCTCTCTTAACATCAGGTCAGCTGAGTCTGAACACATTTTGAACTGGGCTGTCAGAGATCAGAAGGTGTTCGAGTTTCATCTGAAGAGGGTGACTTGCGTGTAATTGCAAGTCACCCAAACTGCGATGTTTGGTTCTGTTTATAAACTGTCCCTGTATAGTAAGCTGCTTAACCTCAGACCTGCCATAGAATAAAAAATAACGTTTGGCAGGCACAGCTGATGCTAGCTTTTGCTTTCTGGGGTGTGTTTAAAGGCCTCACCAGTGCGTGCGAGGGATGAGAAAACATGTCACCATTGTATGTGAGATCCTAAGAATGCCACACGGCCTGTCCTGTGTGCGCAGGAAGTCACAGCATGTCCCTCCCCGACCCGTTACTTTCAGTAACAACCCAGGCCCTCAGCACTGGTGAAGAGATGCTCTTACCGACATGCATTTTGGAAGTGGCCTGGGCTGCCCGTATCATCATCCCATTTAATAATTGCCTGCTCCGCAGCTATCGATTTTGCTGGCAACCCACCCTTTCCTGTCTCCTTTCCCGTCACCTCCCTGCTTTGCCTTTTTTTCCTCTCTTGTGTGTACCTTTTCTTGTCTGTCAGGCAAATTAAAGGTGTCGTGACAAAGCTAAGGATGTGTTTTGTTACCTCCCTGCTGCATAGCTTTACACAGTGACTTCTTACTCGTCATAA